AACATTTTAGGTGTGCCAAGTGCTACTGCTGTGGTGATAGTTATTTGCTCATCACTGGGTGGAATATATGGGGGAAAAATTCACTCATTGCAAAAAACTTGATTTAGGAACTCTTCTGATAAGGTCTTGAAAAATATGATTTTTTTACTTAGCAAGCAAGTGATTTTTGGACTAAATTGGAGGGAGAATATACCTACAAATAAGGGTAGGAAAAGAAAATAGACATGGCTTAAAAGATGTTATTGGTTCACTTACAAGAGTGTAAGACAGGTTAATGGACCCAAGGTGGGTGAGACCTTAGGGAAAAGCAGCTCAGTATGAGTTGCCAAAGCCATTGGCAATTTTTGTTGTTATTTCTATTGGAAAAATTATCAATCTCGAATTTCTTCCAGGGATGTCAGTGATCTGAAGGAATGACTGTGTAATTTTTGAGTTCATGTTTAACTGAGTGTGGAAGGAGGCAGGAAGAGAACTGCACTGTGGGACTTAAGGAGTGAAAAATGGAGATGACTGAAGGGTAAATCTGTCTTTAGATATTTGGACAAGGAGGAACAACTAGAAGATTTACAACAAAGAAGTTTTTATGATAAAAAACCATCCCAAATATCTAATTGTAGTATTTTTAATGCTCATGACAGGTTTTTAATCATCAAAAGCAGAGAAAAAATAGCAGTTGGTTTGAATAAAAATCTTGATGTAGTTTAATCATTCTGGTAGGAACACTAACATCCTTTCTCTCAGTTTATTCCAGAGAAAGGGAACATTGAGTCTTGATAGGAGCTTTTTCTTGATTTTTAATGACTTTTTCAATTACAGGTGCTATCAGGGGGTCATCCCTCTTTTCCATGGGAGAATCCCTTGGTGAGCCTCTCAGAGGAGGGTGAGCTGACATCAACTTCTCCCTTGTGCAACAACAAGCCATGCTGCTTTAAAGAATCCAATATTCATGCAAAAGAGAGGAATTGGTTGAAAATGCTATCTTGGAGCTGACAGGAGGATGGGCTCATAATACATACAGTGAGTAGTTTCAGCTTTTACAAATTACTGCCTATCAACTAACAGAATAAAGTCAATAATCCCTTCTAGACAGTTGGACAATTAGGCTTGGTCATGTTCACTTTGGTGTGGTTTCCCTGAGGCATTTTAAAGGGGCTGAGGGTTAATAAATTATTAATAAATTAATAAATTATTATTACCCTGTATCCAGTTAAGGAACAGAACTTTTAAGTGTAAGGGTAAAGATTCAGATCCCAAACCTCCTGAGAACATACTGGGAATTATTTTTATTAACTTCAGTAAACTACAATCAGCTCTAATTCAGGATCAAAAGGAGTAAGTCTGAGGGCAGTCTGAAAACTGAATTTAGCCTTGGTGAAGGTGTTTAAGTAGTGAATTATTTTGCATTCCAGATCTATTCTGCTATGTATTTTTGAATATTTTGCAATTCAGCAAAGTGCCTCTCAGCACTCTTACTGAAACATTCACCAGTCTTTGGGAGTTTCTGAAAACTCCCTCTGACTTCTCCTGGAGTTTGCCATTGGTATACATTCACTTCATGTAATTGGAAGCAGCTCATTCCCTTCCTGAAACTTGATAAGCATGATAATTGCATGTTGGAAACACCAACTTTTCCAAAAAAGCACTTTTTGTGCTTTTTTTTGTGTTCAGAGTTCAGGCTGGGTCTCAGAAGCTGCTGGATCAAATCCATGAGGAACCATGTGGGAAAAACGCAAGGCCTTTCTGACTGAGCTGAAATTCCTGCTGTGGCTGCAAATCAAACCCAGGGACATCATCTGGAGCTGCTGGTCAGCCAAGTGGTGTGGCCAAGGATGTTGATGTGATAATTATTGTGATAATTCCTCTTGCTCATCTCTGAATACAGGAAATTGATTAGAACATGGTTAGTAAGCTCTCACCTGCTGACATCAGTTGTGAGATCATCGCGTGCTCTCTGCAACTAAATTAATAAATGAACTTGTTTTCATAAAGGTCTGTGGGAGTCAACAAGAATGTTTAAGAGCCCTACTGACCAGAAGTTCACAGTTTCAGAAAATAACAGAGTACACTGAATTGTGTATGAGCTCACAAAAAATGGTTGGATTAGCTCTCTTTTTAAAACAGTTGTGAGAAATAACTCTCTTAAGCAGTTATTGAGATATTTTCACTGAGATCATTACATTAATCTAAATTAAAGTGTGGTGGGGATTGTTCTTTTGGAAATGTTTTCTAAATATTTCAATGTAAAACTAAAACCAAACTGACTTCAAATCCCTAAATTTTTCACCAACAATTTTTAGGTCTTTCTTTGAAGAAGAAAAAGGCATTAAAACAGAGCAGAATCTGGCACAGAAAACAGAGCCAACACCTGGGCAAGGCATGGCAGAACATTGTGTCTGCCATTTTGTGGAGGTAGCTTATGAATTTCTGTCTGCAACCATTTCCAAAACCCCAGGAAATGTTCATGGGCTACACAGGTAAATTAAACACTGTGATCTTTCAGTCTCCACCTTTTTCTTTTTTTCTTTTTTTCTGCTGACATCTGTTTGTGAAAACTGGAGTGGTGCTGGTTGGAGTGGTTCTATTGGAGAAAATTATCTGAAACCAGGATAGTAACTCTGCTTCAGAATGATAACTCTAACCTAAAGATCTGATGGTTGCTACCAAAATACACCATCTCATCCATCTCTTCTTTGCTCCCTGCAATAGTAATTATTTTTTAAAAATCTGAGTTTAAGCTTCAGGTATCAGCTTACCACTGTAGGAAAATGTCAGAGTCCTTCACAGAACTTTACTTGGATTTTTGTCTAGGAAGTCTGAGGACATCACTCTTCCCTCACTTTCTGCCTCTCTAAAATAACTCTTTGTCATTCCTGCTGCATTTTCTATTTTCTCTTGAGTTCTAAACTTGAATGTTTTAACTCCATTGCAAAGAAATATTGTCCTTCACTGAAATTCCCTAAAGGAAGTTGAAGGCTTTTTTTGTTTGTTATGGTTATTTCAAATATTAAAAAAACAGAGCAAAGAAGGTACAGGCAATTTATTGGTCTGTTACAAGAGGTTTAATATTTACAGAACCATCTAACATTCTTTTGCCTTCTTCAGTTCTCACAGACAAAGCATTCTTTTGTTTATGGATTTATTTCAGATACATAGTTAAACTATGTGTATTTTATATTGTTAATAACACTCACTGCTTTAGAATGATTTCTTGTCCAAATAGGAGAAATACACCCTGAATGCAAAAGTGAAATAATTTGGATTGAAGTAGATGTAAACTTCTGTCCCAGGCTGGAATTGAGCTGAATGTTTACAGGAGTGAGGTTTGGATTGTGTGTGTCCTTAGGAGAGACAAGATTTTTGGATAGCAAGTGTCAGTGTTCAGTATTCTAGCATTGGCTTTGGTGAGGAACTGCAGAAAACTCTGCACAGAGAAGCCCTAAGAACAAAGAGAAAACTATTTGGACTTTCTTAAACTAGATTTTTCTCCTTTTCTTTTTCTCTCTCTTTTTTTTTTTTCTTCACTTCTTTTCCCCTTTTCTGTTTCCTTTCCCCTCTCCTCTTCCCTCCTCTTCATTTTTTGAAAGTTGGATATAAAAAAACCTGGCATCGATTAGAAATTCCAGACCTAATGTCTGTTGAACAATAATAATTTTATTTCTTTACAGTTAGATTTGCAAAAAGAAATCCAAGTTATAACCTCAAAGTATTCCACTGTTTCTGATTATTTAGTTTGGTCAGATCACCTGTGCACCAGCACTGGTGTATGAAATCTTTAAATTGCTTTTCAGGAAAATGAGGATTCAACCTTTATTTGGATTATGTCCCTCTGGGGTTATTTATTGGGGGTTTTTAATTTGATTTTTTTTTCATATTAAAAGTTCCATCTGGGTCTCTTTGATATTCTTTGTAGTAATGGCAGCTTTGACCAGGCTAGAGGAAACAGAGTAGAGAGTTAAATCATGTGTGCTGACAAAGGAGCTTGATAAAAATCCTTATTTTTTACATTACTGATACATTCTGAGTCACCAGAACTTGCTGGATTTTGAAATGAGATTCTGTAAATTCCTGATACCACGTACAATTTAAAAGGAAAGAATGTGCAGGTTTCTTCTGTGAGGTATAATTTGAAGTCTGCCTGTAAATTGTTTTCAATTTTTTTCTTTTTTTTTATTATTCTGCATGTTAATATTTCATGACAGGCCATGGCAGAATATTTCAGTCTGGTTTAGGACTGGTACTTGACACAGCCATCTGTACTACAATGATGAGAGGTTCCCTTATTGAAAAAAAAAATTATTTCCAACTCTTCAGAGCTGCTGTGTTCAGTGTTACTAATTTATATCCAGAGGCATTTGCAAATATCCATCCTTGTGAAAGTGAACTCTGAGAAGTGATACAGCCTCTTTGCCTATGGGTATCAGAGTTTATTGACAACTACCCATTTAAAAAAAACCCAAACAAATTGACAACTACCCTTTAAAAAAAAAAACCCAAACAACCTAACAAAACTCAAAATTACTTTGTTTAATATGCTGGAAACAGCAAAAAACAAATGCTGCTTTGGGGAATCAAGGTGGAAATGAAAGAGACAAGTCCAAAAAGGCCAAACTCCCCTCAAATCCTTGGGTTTGTTAAACGGCCTGCAGTGTGGATTTAGGGTTTCCTGTCCATCTACTTAAACTGAAAATGGACAAAATCCTTCCGGTGGATGAGAGGAATTGACCATTGGGGTGTGTTCTCATCCCATGCAAACCCCACCAGGGCCAGCAGAGTCCTGCCCCAGCAATCTGCCACCTCTCCTGCTGCATTAACAGCTGTCCCCATGGGCAATGGTGCTTGCAGAAACCATTGTCATTATTAGCTGGCCTCACACCACTTTCACCTCCTGGAAACCTTGCACAGCACTGGACAAGCTGCTGCTTTGTATTTTCATAGCCCAGGGTAATTAGTGCCTGGCATCTGTAAAGGAAATAAAACGCACAACACCGGAGTCTCTAGGATGACACTGTTTTCATTATATGTTTAATTTTGCTAAGAGCATAAAGGCAGATACATCAAAATGCCAGGAAGCCTCTGTTAATTAAAGTCTCTTTTTCTTTTCCTTCTTATGATTTGCATATGTATTGAGCCATTAAAGAAAAAGATGAAAGGAACCCCAAGACTGTTTATGCATAGCCTTTATGACTGCAGCTACTTACTGTGCAGGAGACATTATTTTGACTGGAGCAAAATAATGTTCTGTGGCTTGACAGAGCCCAAGGCTGCTTTGTAGTGCTCCAGAGGCAGACAGCGAGTGGTGTTGGGAGGTTTCACCCAGGTTTTATGCAGTGCTCTGCCTGTTGTGACATTCTTATACCATTCTTATACCCCCACTCCTGTTCACCATTTGGTTGGCCCAAGTTTGGGGGAAAAAGAATGGATTAAACTCTCCTTTTCAGTGCTGAAGCTTCCTCTGCTACAGCTTAATACCCATGCTCTCTTTGATTATTTACCATTCATATAATGTACCTTTCATAAGGTACAAATTATGTACATCCTCCTCAGTGGATTATCCTTTAACAGTGAATTATCCTTTAACAGGGGCGGAGTTGGCAGCAGGTGAAAAGTCGCCTCTGTCCAAATCACCAGCATAAATCTCCCAGATTTCTTATGCCAGGATTTCACCTCAGAAGCTTGGGATCAAGGTCTGTGTTATTTATTTGGCAGGACAGATTTTGGTGGGTTTCACTGAGGTTAGTTAATTACCCTGTAACTTTTTTCATCAGCCTTGAAACAGTTAGCAAGGACATTTGGAGCTGTGCCTCACTGTAGATGCTGTTTGACTCCTCTATTCCAGGACTAACAGCCAAATAAGTTCAAGTAAAATGATCCAAATTTTTCAGTGCTTATTCTGGTAAAATTCACTGTTTGTTTTCCTTAGATAAAGATTAAATAAGAACCAAATCATAGCTTTTGAAACTGGCCCCTTGATAGCTGGAAGGAACACTGGAGACATCTAATGGAACATCAATATGTGAGAGTTCAGTACAGAAAACACTATATTTGCTTTTTCTTTTTTATTTTTTTTTTTTGTTATTATCTACAAGCACAAGCTTTCATATTTTTAATGTAAAAATGCATACAGATCATTATATATATAAAAATCAACTAGCCTTGTAGCAAACTGCCAGATCCAACTATCCCCAGGTTGGGGACAACCTGTCTGGATCCAGGTGCAAACCCAGTGGCTGATCCTCTCTTCCATCTGTGGATGCACCAAACCCCCAGATACAAAGATTCTCAGAGTTCCAGGGAAGTTTTGGGTCCTGATCCAGGTCTTGCAGCACGGGCATGACTAACTCTTCATCAATTGAAGATAAATATTTTAAAAAACTTCATAAATGACAGTTAACTTGTTGAAGGTAACAAGTATCCCTTTCACCTCTGCTCCCCATTTTTATCTTCTTTGCCATCCTCTCTCGGCAGAAATGGCAGAGGGCAGAGAAATTCAATATCAGTGTCACATACACACACATAAACAGCAGCAGGAGAAGCAGAATTGAATCTGTTGATGTCTGCTGCAGAAAGGCTACTGATTGTGGGTTCATGCTGCAATCAGCCCTTTCAATGCTTGGGCAATTTTGGGCTCAATTTGCACATTGTGGGAATATGAAAGATTTACAGCATATCCAGTAATAGGTTGCAACATTGTGAGCAACAGTAGATCAAGTTGCATTTAATGCTATGTAATGCATATCAACAGAAATGGCTTAGAGGGAAACAAATGAATGAGCAATTAATTAAAGAAGCTTGTGTTAGTTTTGGAGGAAGGGTCACAAAATGGCAGCCTCCTTTTCGACCAAGTGTTTATCTTGTTTGGCAGCTTTCAAATTCAATCTTTGTAAGGAATGTTACTATTTTTATTGTAGGTTCTTTATGTAACAAGGGATGTTTGCACAGTGGAACATTTTATTTTCACCAGGACTTTATAATTTATCTACACAGATGTTATTAAAGAAGATACAATTTGCTGCAAATCTTTTGGAAAGTATGAGAGCCATACCTTAGCCTCTCCTTCCTTTCAACTCTACTCGTATGAATATGATTATTTATTTTCTCCTGTCATTCATTTATAACCTTTTTGTATTTTAAATGCAGCTCCAACCTGAACCCCAAGAAAGGATTTTCAGATAAAAGAACAGTTGAGGTTTTCTAAGAGGGATGAACCAATTGCTTAGTGCACCAAAGTAAAGACGTGACTACGTTGCCATGGGATTGCAGGTAAGGATTTTGTTTACTTCGTGCACCAGCACTGATTTGAAAGATAACAGAACCTCAGTGCTTCAACTTGCAAATGCTCACTCTGGCTCCTAATATAGCTAAATTGCTGGCAAGTTCAGTCCCTCAGCTAAAAAATTCTGGTTTGTGAACAGGCACTAGCTCGCTCTTTTACACTTGTGTTGATTCTACAATACTAAAAATGGCAAAACCTCTATTCTTCCTTTTTTGCTTTTTTTTTTTTCTTTTTTAAAAAAGTTAACAATATGATGAGTAGTTTGGGAACAAGTGTGTCACAGAGGCCTGTTGCAAGAACCCCCTGCCCAGAAGCACACAGTGAAGTTTCCATTGCAGTGTGTCCAGCTGATTTACAGCAACACACATGAACATGAGGAACAAAATATAGACATTCCAGAACAGTGAAATGAGTTTTTACCTCCTAGAATACAAAAGCAGAGAAAACAAACAACAGCCCAAACAAAATATACATCTGAATGTGATCTTTGCTGGTTGGGTAAAAGTGAAAGCTAAAAAAAAAAAAAAAAGTACTTTGGTAAAATATTTTAAGTGAATACTTTTAATAGAAGTCATAATTTGGAACTTTTCTCTGTTCATGTGGATATACAGATCTGCCTCTTCAGCCTGTTCCACCACCTATATGGCTACCTATAGTTCTACAAAGTGCTAGCCAGCTAGATTTACCCACTTTCCTACGTCTGTGGCAATTTTAATTTGACAGGCTTTTGGAGTCACTTCCTCACAAATAACCACATGAAGTACAAAGCAGTGGAGAATAAAGTTGTAAGCAAATGCTCCAAGGGGGCTGTTCCTCAAAGGAGAACACTGCTAACTTGTCATCCCAACCTTTGGCTGTGGTTCTACGTGTTGACAGTCTGAGCTGCCCAAAGGGATGCTACACCAGTGGTGGGAGACCAGCACAATCTGAATTAAAAGCTTCCAATCTTGGTTCTTGCATCTTTTAGCAGTTAAGAAACCAACTAGACAGGAGGCAAAACTTAAATGAGATGATGAGGGAGAAGGAAAGCACTGGACATCTTTTTATCCCAGGCACCAAAATCTCATAAAATGCATTTCTGCTTCAATGTGCCAGATAAAAGTCACAAAAAACCTGCACTGCTTTGAGCCCCAGAGTGCTCCAAGCAGCATCTGGGAATTTAAACAGCTGAAAATTATGGTCTTTTGATATGGTAGAGGCCATTCAGATCTGATTTATATTTGGGCTTAGACTTTAAATAATTGCCTTCCCAAGGATTCTGCTCGTCTTCGGTATAAAATAGACTAAGAGGAAGTATTTGGATTGAAAAAATAAAGACCAAAAAAAATCTAAAAACTACCCATAGCTACATTAATAGTAATATGATTAATATTTTATTCTTTCTCTGTTTGATTTCCCAACTTTACTCCCATTTCCCCAAGCACTTTGAGGGGGAAATGGTGAAATACTGCTGGACTAGATGATTATTTTGGAGAACTCTGCAGTTTCAGAGGAGCTGGAAGAGCAGCTGAACTTTAGCTCTCTTGAAATGTGTGTCTAGCTGGCTAAACACTCCAGGAAATAGACCTTTCCTATATTTTTTCCATACCTTACTAAGAACATCAACACTCAGGGATTTGACAAAAATAACAAGGAAGGAGTGAAAGCATACAGTGAGCCAACTCAGAGCTGATGAAAGTGTCAGGTGAACTTTGTTTCCACACAGCAGCCTCTACACATATTCAGTCCTGGAGAACACCAGTTGTGATGGTTGTTGATGGACTGAGGGCTGAATCTTACTCTCCAAAGGCTACTGAGCAGCTGTCTGGCTGGAAGTGATGTTTAGGCACTACTGACTTGCAGGGGATTGGAGCTAGCCATGTAGAAGCAGAAGATTCTCTCTTGGTTGCCAATCCCCACAATTGTCTAGTCATTTGGAGTTCATTTGGTGTTTGTTTGTTGTTTTTTTTTTCCCCACATTAGTCAGAAGCAGTGTGGCTAAATACATTTCAAAACAGGAAAACAGTATGATTCCGTGTTACTCCAAAAAGTGGTGGCGTTTTTCTTTTTGTGGTTTTATTCTTCATTGCAAAAATTCGACCATTTCTCACTAAACTCTGCTTGCCCCATCCCGACTCCAAGCTAATACAGTCTAAAACACTTCTCTGGCTTAGGACAGCTCCTTTTTAGCTGCTGATTTTGGTCAGCATCTTGTTAATGGCCTGCTTGACGTGGGTGGTGGAGCTTCTCCTCCGAGTCTTGCCCTGGACCATCTTGCGGCGCCGCACCTCGCGGCACAGCTCGTAGAAGGCCTCCATGATGTTCCCCTCTCCCGTGCAGGCCGAGCACTCGTAAAAAGCACACGCCAGTTCTGTGGCCAGCTTCTCCCCTTCCTCCGTGCTGACTTGCCTGGAGTGATCCAGGTCTGCTTTGTTGCCCACCAGGATCAGCGTGACGTTTTTGGGCTTTTTGACCTCGTCCAGCAAGTTCTTAAGCGGCAGCATTTCCTCGAAGCTGCCTCTGTCCGTGATGTCGTAAACCAGCACGAAGCCCTCGCCCCATCGCACGTGTCCCTCTTTCTGAATGGCATCCTCCTGTTGGAAAAGACAGAAGAACACCTTAGGAACTTGATTTATGAAGAAGACAGCAGGTCTTCAGAGAGGTGCTGGTCCTTCAAAGCTACGTGCGTCTGCTTTGCTTTATACTTTGCTCACATCACCTTTTTCATCACATGGCGTAGGAGATCTCTTTCCCCCAGTGCCATGATATATCTGGCCTATGCAGCATGTGCACCTGCAATGCTTTACAAGGGAGACCTGACTATGACACATCTGCTCTTCTCTTTGGTGGCAATCATTGTCTGAAGTTGTCAAGCTCCATCACTTGACTGTAGAAATAGACCGTGACTTTGTGCCCGCTTTCTGAGCTGGCCCTGAATAAAAAGGCATGACAACAAAATAATTTTACCCCCTTGAGTTGTTTGTTCTTCCAAGCAGGATCCCTTGTAGAAGGGTGATTTATGAAGAAGACAGCCGATCTTCAGAAAGGGGATGGTCCTACAAAGCTATGTGCATCTGCTTTGCTTTATACTTTGCTCACATCACCTTTTTCATCACATGGTATAGGAGATCTATTCCACCTAGTGCCATGACCTGCCTAGACCTGTGCAGCATGTTCACCTGTCATGTTTTAAAAGGGAGACCTGACTATGACAAATCTGCTCTTCACTTTGGTGGGAATCATTGTCTGAAGCTGCCAAGCCCCATCACTTGACTGTAGAAATAAATCATGACTTTGTGCCTGCTGGCCAGCCCTTCTTGTTGGGCTGGCCCTGAATAAAAAGACATGACAACAAAATAATTTTACTCCCAGAGTAAACCCCTTGACTTGTTTGTTCTTCCGAGCAGGATCCTTGCTTGGAAGAGTGTGGATTCAGCATGCAGGAGGAGAGAGGGGGTCCTGCCCAGAAGGAAATCTGTGTCCCCAGAGTGGGGCACGCCTGCCAGCCCCTGCACTGCTGCCACCACCACAATTCCCTGCCCTGCTGCACAGCCCAGCCAAGGCACTGGGTAGCAGCAGCACAGGCACCCACGCACCTGGCCAGCTGTGTCTAGTATCTCCATGGAAACCACTTCATCATCAATGGTAGCTTGGTGACGGTACGTCGACTCTAAAATAAGAACACATGTTGTGAAACGTATTAGAAGAACGTAATTTCCTTTTTTTTTTCATATCTTCCTCACAGATCTCCCAGCGCAAGAGCAGACATGTGACGTGCAGTTTGGCTAAATTTTCTTTGCTGGAGCTCATCCAGCCCTCCTGGAGCACAGTCAAGTCCCATTTTCTGAAACAGCAGCACTTACCTCTCTCCATAGGACACAAAACCTTTCCTTTCCCATGGGTTAGACTGCAAAAGCCTGATGGATGCTGCAGTCTGCACGCAGCAAAAAGGACAGTTTGCTGTGGCAGAGAGCTCTGCAAAGCTGTGTCCCATTTTTCCTGCTTGCTCCCAGGAAAGGCTGCTACCTTTGGAAGACAATACCACAACTCTCAAGGCATCCAGCTCAACAACTGCCACTGCATAGCTTGTTGATAAAAACCAGGATGGATTTATATATATATAACAGATCAAGGAACCCAACCACTAAGCTCAGGCCTTATGCTGTGAAAAAATTACGGACCAGTTAGGTATGTTAGGAATGTGTGTTTTAAACATGCTGAAATCATCACATTCCCTTCTTCTAGCAAGGGATCAAGCAGTGATTTCCCTGTTTATAATTTATAAGGATAACCAGTGGGCATTCAGCATTTATACTATGGAAAAATAGAAACCAATGACCCTATTTACTGTCCCAGGTTTTGGAACCAAGTAACTAATCAGAAAACTAATAACAAAGCAGCTTGTTTTATCTTAATAAGCTGATAAGCTAAATTTGATAGCATTTGACTTAAAATGTGGAAAACTGCCTGTGCTAACATTCAGATTTATTACTGTTGCTAGCTCACAGATGTCCTATATCAAAAGACAAATATGAACGCTGTAAAAGTCTGGCCAGTGACTGTGAATGCTTTGCATTGTCAGAGACAGAATTCTTTCATTTGGTGTAAATCTCTTCAATAGGAACAAAGGGAGGAAACTCATTTCTTTAACTTGAACTTCTGCAAGGGCTCGTGTTCTGTGAATGCCTGTTTTATTATTCTCTTAAGAATGTCACCTCCTCACAATCAGGAATGTTTCAGTGCTGCAAACAGTCTCTTCCCAAACCAAAAATGTCACTCCCTCCCTGTGCCACCTTAATTGCTTTAACAGCCCAGCTGTCTCCAACAGGGACAAATGGCCAATTTACTTGGGCAGATGGCAAGCAAGCTTGCTGTAGTGTTTCAGGCCATGAAGACTGGCTTGCTGAAAGGCTGTAAATATCTCTTCTGGATGGTTTTTCCAGGGTGTTGAAGGTGTTGCAGTCTCCCTTTGTGATCCTGAGGCTATGCCTACACCGCAGAGTGACGTATGTCAGAGTCCCTTGGTGGAATGTCTTATCTGAGCCTTCCTCACACTCTCCTGGCTCAGCAATTCCCTCAGGGAATGCAGAAAGAACAGGAAACTCTGCTTTGGTGTTAGAGCTGCACCTTCAACGAGTTATTTCAGTGCTGGGTAGGGATTCCCTGTGTAGTACTCCAAGCTGGAGGTTATTTAGGAACTTGTGCTCTGTTTCTTTGGGGTGAGGATGCTGTGCAGGGGAGATGGCTCTCTGAGTAAGCAGTGTGATTTTAGCTCCTTGCTTGCTGAGGCTTTGCAGTGCTCATTTGCCTTCAACCATCTGGTCCTGCTTGACAAGTGGCTGCTGAGAATTTTTCCACAGAAGCTGAGAAAATGCTCACCCAGCCATGACTGCACGATATCTGTGAAATGTCCTCAGGAGGCAGGAGGGGGTAGCCCATCCTATGAAATTTATGATAAAATAATAAATATATTATAATATCATATTATAATATATACATATATTATATATATTTGTATATAAGATATATAGTATAATATATTTATATTATATAGTTATAATAGATATAACTATATTTTTATATAATATATATATTATATATATATATTATATATTATATATATAATATATAATATATTATAATATATACTATTATTATATTTTAATAATAATATTATAAAAATTATAATAAATTCTTGAGATTTATTCTCCCTATGAAATGTGCAGGATATCTGTGAAATGTCCTCAGGAGGCAGGAGGGGGTAGCCATCCTATGAAATTTATGATAATATAATAAATATATTATAATATCATATTATAATATATACTATTATTATATTTTAATAATAATATTATAAAAATTATAATAAATTCTTGAGATTTATTCTCCCTATGAAATGTGCAGGATATCTGTGAAATGTCCTCAGGAGGCAGGAGGGGATAGCCCATCCTATGAAATTTATGATAATATAATAAATATATAATATATAATATATAATATATAATACATAATATATAATATATTATATAAATATATAACATATTATAGAAATCTATAATATATATTATAGAAATATATATAATATATATTATATATTGTATTATGTTTATATTATATATCATATATTATATATTATATAAATATAATGATAAATATAAAATTATATAATGTAATATTAGTTATAATAATATAATAAAAATTTAGATAAATTCTTGAGATTGATTCTCCCTATGAAATGTGAGCATGAATCTCAAGGAATAGGCTTTTGCTCACCATGCAAAAGCAGCATGAATCTTAAATGATACTCAGCTTCTCAAAATAGGACTCTAGCAGCACTTTGTGTTGCAAGTTTAACTTGCTTTGGCTGCTCACATTGGAAAGGAATTTGATCTTGGATGAGTAGCACAGATTTAGGTCAGATTCGTGTAAATAAATCTTCCTAAATGTGTGTCTGCTCCTGTGCTCAGGAATGTGTGGTAGCTGGGTGAATTTTAATGAGGAGTGTAAAACAGCTGGACGTTGAAAGCATTTTTGGTGTAATCACAGACATGGCTTCTCCTTCAAGGGAACAGAAAAATCTGAAGAATCTCGTTGTCTTGTAAATTATGAGCCTGAAGATGTGAGTTCCAAACCTGCTCATACTGATCCTATGGTACATCACAAAAATATTGCCTTGCTTTGGGATTTATTTGCATTATTTTCCTTGTGGCACTGCCTTTTCTTTTTTTTTTTCTTTTTTTTTTCCTTTTCTTTTTTTCCCCTTTTTCCCCCCTCTTTTTTCTTTCCTTCCCCCCCTTTTTCCCCCCCTTTTTTCCCCTTTTTTCCCTTTTTTTTCTCCTTTCTTTTTCTTTTCCCCATTTTTTCCCTTTTTAAAATTTTTTCCCCTTTTTTTCTTTTTTATTTCCTTTTTTTGAGGCATGCAGCCAGAGAGTAACCACAGGGCTGGAGATAACTGCTGGACCCCTGACTGAACCAAAGCCCTGACATCACAGGTGTCTGTCTCTCACACTTGACTCCTATTGGAGTTGATGAAATAAAATAGGTGCTGCTGGATACACCTTGTGTGAGCTCTCTCCTGGAATAAACTGCACCTCAAAAGTACTGGACAGAACAGAACTGCTCAGATGAATCCAGTATGATTAAGAAAATACAGGAAAAAACCTACTTTTGAAGGGAAAACTTTGAAGCCCATGATCCACAGACTGTCTATGGATGAAATATTCAGTCACAGCTTGTTCACATCACATCCTGGCACTACTGTGACATTTTAAACAGAGTTTTGGGCTATGAGTCTTGGCTGGTCATCTCTCAAACCTTTGTTTTGTCCAGGACTATCCTCTTTTTCTGAGTATATTCGTTCCTGAATATTGTGGTTTGTAGGGAAAAACTGTGGAAATTAATTTCTAGATTTTGAGTTGAATTTGCAGTGATGAAAAAAGTGAACCAGCAATATATATTGGGATATGTCACAGCTCTAGAAGATAATATTTGCATGCAGGTGTTTCTTGGTTTTAGGAGTGGGTAAATCAGCTGAGATGGAGCAACTATAATTTACAGCCAATCTTAAGCCAGCCTGGGCTCTTGATTGCTTTTAAGTACGGAGGGACATGATGTCTCTTTCCATAAAGAATTTTAGTTTATTTTTTTTTTCTTTTTGTCAAGAGAGGTTAGTAAAGCATTTTTATATGTCCTTGTTTTAAGAAACTTTGGTCTAATGGTGGTTTTCAGCCAGGTGGATCTGAGAAATGCAAGAGATCTGGAGAAAGACTTTTTGTGTCATGATTACATTAGAGTTTTCAGACCAAAAACCTCAGCTAATAGACATGAACTTTAAAATCATGGTTAAAGTCCTGTTGGATGGCAATGTCTAAAAGACCAAAACTCCCCATAATTAGTTCTGTTATCAGAATAAATGTTCTTGTTTATTGTTTGGGATGGTTTTGTCAGTACTCATTTAGAATCTTTGACACCCATCAGGGGCACCCTCTGTCACATTTGAGAACAGTGACTTTGACTATTGGGGAAAAAACACCCCAAAAATTATGATTAACCCTGGTGTTGTTCTCCCAACCCTTCCTTTACCCAGCCGTGGTGAGGTCTGTCCCCCTCTGCATTTCTCTGCTGCTTCAGGAACTTCTCACATTTTAGAAAGCCTCTGTAAATTGAGTGTATCCTCCTGAAAGCCTCTCCTGCCTTTTTCCTTCCTCAACCCCAGGTTTTCTCAAAGCACAGTGGAATTTATTTTTCTTGCTTGCCTCTGGCTGTTACGTGTTCCCTCTGTTGTTTACCTTACAGGAGGGTTTTTATTTTGCCACCAGCAGTGGTTTTACAGTAAGTAAAAACCCAGTACCACAGTATAATACAGTGCCTTGTGTATTCAGCACATATTTCTAATGCTAACCTCATAAACTCATGTGTCTCTCTATTCATTAATATCACAGACCCCCAAATTAGAAAAGTTGGGTTATTTATTAATAATACCATCAAACAAGATGCCATGAATGGCCATTGCATTGTTTTTATCATGTGTAAAAGGAGAAAAACTAGTAGAAATAATGATTTTGAATGGAAGCTTTGTGACTGGTAATTGGATTTGGACTCTTCAATGTTGAACTGTGCATGTGTAGCCCCAAGAGTCAGGAAATAGGGAAGGAAAAGCTCCAGGAGGTT